AGGGTAATTGGATGGATTTTAAAAGTGCAATGTTTTGATTAATATGGAAAATATAAGTACACTGCCATTATACGTAAAAAAAATGCAAAATTTAAAAACTGACTGTGTCTAATAGAACTTCCCCGAAAAAGGGGCTGTTTGGTAGGATCTTAATTTTTAAGAGGTCTGAATTTCTAAAAGGGTCTGAATTTTTAAGATCTAAATTTTTATCATGCTGTTTGGTTGAAACATCTGAATTGCTATGCTGAATTATAAAAATGACCATTTTACCCTTTTATATTATTTTTGCTGAATTTAAAGTTTATGTTTATAAAATAAACGAATCAACTTCTTAAGTAATTATAAAACAAATATATAAACACCATAAAAAATCTAAATTAAACATAGATTAAAATTATAACACAACTTCAAATCAAAATGAAGCTTTTACCTTTGTAAACAATTTCCTTCAAGAACATCAAATAACAAAGCAAAACTTGTCATATTTACAGCAAAATAATACATATAATATAAACGAATCACAAGCAAAAACAAAAATTCCACCACCAGATCCCTCAAACTAATCTAGAATTCAACAATAAATATTTTGTTTATTTTTCTTGGTATTAGATTGAACAAACCATCTCTATTTCCATTTGTTTTCTCAAAAAAGAGGTCCAACTGTTGTCTTGGTTGGAATTCATGCTCATATCTACAGAAATTTGGTTCCATTGGGCAACCATCTTCATATACCTCCAGATACTTGGAGCACCAAAACGGTTGAACAATCCTCTAGAACCTTGAACGACTTAATTGTGTACATTAACACAACTCTACTTCTTGTAAACTCAAACACCCATTTGTATAGACTGGCAGTGTGCATCATTGGAAATAAACAAATATCATCAGCAACACTAATAATTGAATGCAGGGTAAATAAGAAGAAAAAATTGAAATATTCGTTGAGAATTGTTTTTCATTGAAAAAAAAATGCAATGTATGTGGTAACCGTATTTAGAGCAAAAAAGAAAGAAGAAAAAATCGATGTATGTGGTGAGATTTCATTTTGAGGGACAAAATAAAAGAAAACCTTACCTGGAAAAATTGGACTCGATGGCGGCGACGTCGAAGATGGCGAAAGCGTCGTCTTCGACGGAGTCATTGAAGCCGGCGGCGGCTTCGTCAATTGCGGAAGAGAGAACACAAGACGAGTTTTGAAGATCATAATCTTTTGTTGCAGATCGAGAGGTAGAAGAAAAGGGGGGTGAGGCACAAAGATATGAAATTCCATCATGATAAACAAATCCTTACATATAAAATCGATCCAATCGAAGCACCAAAATAAAGTAAAACATGTGGAACCCATCTCCAATTCTTCATTCACATGCCTCAAATTTAACAAAAATGGTGAGTTCTTCCATGGCACCCGTTTACCAAAATTAGACCGAGACCTTATTTTTATTCAAAACAGATAAAACCAAGAATGATGAGATTATAATCTATATTGAAACACCGAAGAAAGCCCTAGTTTTTTGTTACCTTCTTTGAGATGAAAACAAAGAGGACGATGGAGGGCGGCAGCAATAGGAGTTACCCATTTCTTTCGATTCCTGTAAAGATTTATGGATCAGATACCAGAACGCGTTACATAATGGAAATGGTTGTGGGGTTTAACTTGCTTCATGACTTTCACATTAGAGTTTGTAAGGGGCGATTGGATGCAGGCTTCATAAGAGGGAAAGAGAATTCAAAGAAACAAAACCTAATCAGATAGCAAACAGAAACCAAAAGTACAAAGAAACGTACAAACAAAAAAATGACATAATCGAACCAACCTTTATAGGAATGGACGCTGTAAATTGTTGATGAATGAAGATTAGGGTTCCGACTTCCAATTGTTGATGCAGGAGGAGGGAGATGAATGAATCACCAACAGATAAAAATATGGATGAAGTATTATGGTTAATAGAGAACCGGTAGATGAATGCAGAGGGTAAATGTTTCTTGGCGGATACAGGAGAGTCCAAAATGAAGCGGTGTGATCCGCTTGGAAGGAACTGGCTTTACGAAGACGACGGTACCCATGGACCCACCTCAACGGGTCCACATCAAACCCGTCCAAATATAGTACTTGGAGACCATTCATGCGCTGTACGCGCCTTAGGAAAAAAAGCGTTTTTTTATATAATAATGATATATATATATATATATATATATATATATATATATATATATAGAGAGAGAGAGAGAGAGAGAGAGAGAGAGAGATGATACGGTGGAGTGGGGTTGGGGTAATGGTGGGGTGTGTATTTTTTTGTATTTGTATATTTCCTTTTATTTTGTAATTATAAAACATTAAAAATTATAAAAAAAATGTAAAAAAGAAATTAAAAGGGTAAAAACGTCCATTCATGTTTTCTAGGGACCAAAAGCATGGGAATATCTAAATTTTGGGACCAAAAACACATAAAATTCTTGATTTTGGACCAACCATGCAAGTCGGAAACTTTTTGTATCGTATCTACAGTTTTTTGCAAACCACAAGGACCAAATTTGCAGATTTGTCAAATCAAAAACCGAGATTAAAAAAAAAAAAAAAAAAGTATGTTTTATGTTGTCTTATAGTAGTTTTTTTTTCTTAAATATCTATCCACATGAAGCGAAAAAAAAAAAAAACACTTTAGCAACGAAATTCACCGACCAACACAAAAATAAACATCGGCGGAATCCACCGGTAATCGGAAAACCGTTGGCGGCCGCTAATCTATTCAATAAACTATTCCGCCGTTCTTATGTATGCATACAGTGCTTATATATGGGTTTTATCGGGTTTCCGAGATTTTTCGGTGAAATAGAAGATAATGGCAAGGAATCACATTCACAGCAGTAAACAGATTTCCACAAAATCAACAGTCCTGTTGTTGTTCGCTAGTGTTGTTGGTGGTGGCGCATTGATTTTCTATTATTTATGGGCTTCTTCTTCTTCCGCTGTTTATACCTCAGTTCATTATAATTGGATTCGCGAGAAAAATGATCTAGTAACCCTACCTAATTTCTCCAACGAGACTAATAAGGTCAGATAATTCCCCACTTTTCGTATTTTTTTGTTTCACTTTATTCATCTAATTAATAATGTTCTAAATTTTGAACCTTCCATTTTGCATACATTTTTTTTTATTTCCCTCTTGATATTTTTGTTATGGTCTTGATATAGAATCATCTAATTAGTAGTGTATTGAAGGATCTCTTATTTATTGTAATTTTGTATTGTAGATTGCAGAATTTAAAAATGAGAAGCATAAAAATAAAATCCCTGTCCCTGAGAGGTTACTATCAGGAAGTTTTGCAGATTTAGACGCACCAGAAACCAAATGGGAAGAAATGGCACCGGCACCTGTGCCACGTCTTGATGGTGCTTCAATACAGATCAATCACCTGTTTTATGTGTTTTCTGGCTATAGAACCCTTGACCATGTAACGCAATCATTTATATAGCCTTTATGCAAAAGCAAAACCCATATTCGTTAAATTTGAATTTGGTTGTAGGTACATTCCCATGTTGATGTATACAATTTCAGAAGCAACAAATGGGAAGAAAGCTTTAGTACACCAAAAGAAATGGGTAATTCTCATTTAGGAATGGCAAGCGATGGAAGATATATATACATCGTCTCCGGGCAACGAGGTCCTCAGTGTCGAACTCCTCCCGTCTCTCAAACATTTGTGCTGGACACTCAAACAAGAAGCTGGGAGTCTTTTCCACCATTACCACAACCTAGGTTTTTTTTTTTTAAATAATATTTATTCATTAAAGTTGAATAGTTTGACCTAATTTAATTCCCATTCCAGGTATGCTCCGGCGACTCAAGTTTGGAGGGGTAGGCTTCATGTGATGGGTGGTGGCAAGGAGAATCGCCATACGCCAAGCACGGATCATTGGAGTATTGCGGTGAAGAATGGGAAAGCTTTGGAGAAAACATGGAGGAATGAAGTGCCCATACCCCGTGGTGGTCCACACAGGTAGGTAAACCATGTATGGATGTGTAGTTATTTAGCCCATTTACTTCATCAGGTCAATTAATCAAAAGGGAAGGAAAAAAGAGAGTATTTAATATTTAATATTTATGTTTGTTTGGAATTTGGATAGAGCTTGTGTTGGTGTTGGTGATGGGCTGTATGTTATTGGTGGTCAAGAGGGTGACTTTATGCCCAAACCAGGCTCACCTATCTTCAAGTGTTCACGCAGGCATGAGGTAGGTAAGAGCTCTTCTCTTGTACTAGTATTGAACAAGTCATATCAAGGTAAAACTGAAGTGTTGTTCAAACTTCAAACCAATTAATTACTTTTCAGGTAGTTTATGCCGATGTTTACATGTTGGATGATAAGATGAAGTGGCATACATTGCCACCAATGCCAAAGCCCGATTCACACATAGAAGCTTCATGGGTAATTCTAAACAATTCCATTGTCATTGCTGGAGGCACAACCGAGAAAAATCCCATAACAAAACGAATGATTTTGGTTGGAGAGCTCTTCCAATTTGATATTAACTCAAAGGTAGTTGATTTTTTGTACAAAAAATTGTTTTGCAGCTTTGATCTTTATCTGAGATTTTTCTAATGTTTTGGTCCATTCAAAGAGAAACCTTTTTGGGCCCAAAATTACAAAAAGTAATTATACTTAATGACTTATGAGTTATGTCAATGTAATGTATACAGAAATGGCATGTGATTGGAAAACTTCCTTATCGTGTAAAAACCACACAAGCAGCTTACTGGAACGGATGGTTTTATATCACATCTGGTCAGCGAGACAAAGGACCCGATAATCCACAACCAAAGAAAGTCGTGGCTGACTTATGGCGCACAAAATTGAGCGATCTTCTTATACACTAAATTTAAACTTTTTTTTCTTTTTTGCACATTATAGTTTTCACTAGTTAGCATTTAATCAAGTGTGTATCATTTGGTTCCCCCATTTTGAATCATAGTTTTTTTTTTTTGGTAAAAAAAAAGGCTGTACAAGGCTAAAAAGGTATGCTGGTTTTTTGATTGGGCATATCATGTTTACTCAACAACACAAGTGAGAATTGTAAATGAAAGATAGAGGCAATTTTGAGATTTTTCATCTTAGTAGAGGGGCATAAGGAGCTGGGCATGGAGATTGAGAGAGATCTGGTAATTCATTTATGAGATCAACAGTTGCCTCCAAGCATTTGTTTAGTATTCTCTTCTCACACCTCAGCAGCTGTGTGGCTACTCGTTTCCTTGGATCGATATCACATTCTCCCAACTGAATTTCCACATTCCTTGGTTAATTCCATCTAATTTAAACTTATTGCCAAAAAAAAAAAACATTATTAAATATTAGAGATTACCAAGGCTTCATCTTCGCTTAGAGTGGTGGGGTAACCAGACAATCTTTCTCTGAAGTATGTAGCTAGCTGGTTCAAAACAGCACGTTCCATACAAGGGCTCACCTGGTAACACAGAAATAGTAAAGGGACTGAAACTGTAAATTAGGATTTATTGAACTAAAGAAGGACTTACGGGACATACAGGACCCTGAGAGGATATAACCGACTGCATCTCTGAAGGATCTGAAACATAACCCAGCCTCATATATGGAAGCATATCTAAAACAGTCTCTCTTTCTTTCCCCACATTAACCTAACAGAGACGGGGTATCTATCAACAGTCGATCACAGAAACAAACTATGGAGCTGCTTTTTTTTTTTTTTTTTCTCAATTAAGTCTTGTATATGTGAAGTGGCTGCAAACCATCTAAATGACCATTTTATCCTTTGCACTCCAACAACCAATTTTCACAATATTCATCAGTTTTAATTTTAATAAAGTGAGAGTAGTTGGGAGGAAAAAAGAGGTAAAAAGAAACAAGAAGGCCACCCCATAAATAAGCATATAAGTTAAGTGAGTTGTACCTGGAAAGTTTGTATGGTCAATTTTCCATTTCGTTGAGCAACCAATCTCTTTTCCTGGTATTGAGGATCCTCTGTGTTCAATGCTGCCTGGAAGCAACAAAGGTAAGAAGCAAAAAAAACTAAATATATGATTATGATTATGATTATGACGACAAGTTGAAACTTTCACCTCCACCATCAAGCGATCATAAGTGTTATCTTCATCAACAAAACCATAATTGATGAGTAATTTGGAATTAGGTTGTGGCCCACACCTACATACAAAATCAAAATGTTTCTACTTTCTTCTGAATATAATCCAAAACTAAAAGGAAGATACATACCATACTACAATAGATTGTCCGGCTATATATGGGCGATCGACAACCAACTGGACAGCTCCATCCTCTGCCGCTGTTAACATCGCCTTGCAATTGCTCCTGTACCCCAACAGAGGAGGTCCAAGAGGAACCAATGCAAACCTTCTTGCCAAACTCACTTTCTGAAATTTTACACCAACCATTGCATTGCATTGCATGCTTAATAACAGATACCAAGGCATAACACATATACAAAATGGTAGGCAAACCTGTAAATGCACCACACAAGATTGAACTGCTACAAAAGCTTGTTTGAATATCTCAAAAGAAAAGGCCTCTGTAGGGATATCAAATGGATATTGCTGCTCAAATAAGAACCAAAAAAAGGTTAATCAGAGTCAGTCAGTCATGTGACATGAAGAATCCAAATCTACACAAACAAAACTAAAACCATTCCAAGTAATAACTAAAATGAACAAGGAAAAAAAAAAACTAAACAACCTGAAATAGGGATCCAGCCATGAACCAGACAGTGTCAAGCTCATTATACTCTTTTCTGATGCCTTCTGCTCTTTCAACAACTTCAGCCTGATAGGGGGAGTGATGTATGTGTAATGTGTTATATTCAACAACATAGGGGAAATTCAAAACTTAGGATACGAACAGATAGATACCTTTATTGGACTTCCTGTAAGATAATTGAGCTCAGATTCAGACCATAAGAGTGGTGATTCAACAGCTAGCTGTCCCCTACCACGCTGACGATCAAGCTCTTTGATATATGGGTACCAGAAAGATTCTTTTCCTTGTTTTTTCTCGTACATTAGATACAACGCAAGGCAAGCTAACTCTGATAGTTTGTTTGTGGTTAACAGTTCCGCTGCAACATAGATTAGGAAGAAACTTCTACTCATAACAATGATCTATAAGACAGAAGGAGGGTAGTTTATCTGACTATCACTCAGATGTAATGACGTATCTAGATCATGATCAAGTTGTGTACTCAATTGAGTGCATCAACTAATAATGCCAACCATACGCACATCAAATAAAGAAAGCCTTAGTAAAATTGAACAGCATCTTACCGACGGTTTCATTCCCCAAAACTCTCTCGAGTGTTACAATCAACGAACTCGGAACAGAAAATGCAATATCACCTGCCTACATTACACACAGCTAGATCATCAAATAAACTTCAACTAATTCAGGTAAGATAATCAACACAGCAACACCTGCCTGTAAATCCTCGCTTGCGGCGACGTAATGAATGGAAGGATGTCGTGAATCATACGCCTGCCTGTCTTTGAGAACTACCTTACACGGAGGTAAACCATTCTTATGCATCCAAGATTTCAAGTCTTCCTCCTCTTCAAACTCTTTATCTTTCTTGCTGGCAACCGTGGGAGAAGACGACTTCCCGGAGACAAGTGTATCGGAGCTCGATGCCAGACACATGTTCCGACTCCGCCACCGAAACGAACGACGAGCATTATGCTGGTAATCTCTCGAATTTATGAATGCTACCTTAGAAGGAACGGAGACAGGGCGATTATGAGTGGAAGAGTAAATTGGATTGAAACTGAATACGCATTTGGTTTGTTGTAGATAAGCGACGTCCATGATGATGCTATTGATCTGGTTCAGTCAGAAGCCGGTTGGAAAAATGGAAATTAGGGTTAGGGCTTATGAGATTGAACAATTTGTAAGGCAAATTGTGAAGATTTTGGTGGGTCTGATAGGGATATTTTGGTAGCGTTCAGTTGTGTGCAAGAAGGAGGATAAGGAGAAGCTGCTAAGTGCTAACTTCTTCGGCAGTATTTATCATTGGAGGGAAATGTAACACTGTCTTCTCCACTTTCTTTTAGTTTTTTTGTAAAGGAAAATCAAAGAAAACAAAAAGAGAAACCATCTTCTCAAACTATTGTATCAACATTTTATTGTTCAAAATATACTTTTAATTCTTGAAAAAATAAAAAAGTTTTATAAAACTTTATGAGCCTAAATGGAAGAAAGAGTAATGTATTTGTAATATTGTGCTTGTATTATTTCTTATTATATATTGTATTTCAACTTATTTCTTCCTCAAACATTATACTTATTAAAAAAAAAAAAAAAACTTTTTGTTATTATCCTAACGGGTATCCTGCTTGATCAAATACGAAATATGTATGAAGTATGAATAAAAATTATAAAAATTCATCAGTGTTTTTACTTTTTATTCTACCTTCTCTTGAACTTGAAAAAATTGGCAGCTTTAAAATCTTTTTTCTTTCATATTCATTATTCAAGAATATAAAATAATTTTCATCTACTTTTCTCTATATTCTCCGAAACAGAATATAAGCAACATAGTTTAAATTTAACATGTTATACAATACTCCGTATTTGACTGCATAGAAAATCTGATAAAAAGCTTTACATACTCACAAATGAGGCTTACAATACTGCCACCAACGCAGTCCTACATCACACAGAATTACATATACATATATACGATACTCTCCATACATGGTAGGCACAAACATAATACATGAGTACATGACATAACATAAATTTCTGCCAATAACAAATACACACACAGGTCTTTTTGGGTTGGTCTAAAAACACATGCTAGCCATAAGATTTAAAATTGTTGGCATAATATGAAGAAAAAATTTGTGATGGTTTCAATGTTGAGAAATATAAAGAAAAGTTGATAAGATTTTTAAATTACAAAATATGTTTAACATTCAACGTTCATTTATTGAATACAAACAAAAACAGTAAACAGAAGAAGCTAATGAAAAAAGGAAAAAAAGAGGTGGTCTGGAGGATTTGAAGTAATAAAGTTGGGTTGGTGTCTTGTAATGAATCAAGCAGTGGGTTGTGAGTTGTGTGTCTCATCTCTCTTTTTACCTTTGCTGATTTTGTTAACACCTTGTTGTTGTTGGTCTGCCTTTTTTTGTGCTCTAATGACGGCCCGCCTTGCCCGTGGACGCATCTCACGGACTTGTCTAGGTGGCATCACATACGGTTGGAGCGGCTTGTCCCCAAATGGGTGCTCGCTGTCCGGGAATATTCTCAGCTTAAGATCTCTGTCCTGAAAAAGGAATGGAATTAGTGATTACATTCCATGGACCATGTCATGATTGGTAATAACAAACAGACTCACATCGCGTAGTTTATTTCTTGGGAGCATGCGAAGGACAGCTTTGCGGATGACTTCTGTAGGATCCTTGGCCATCTGGTCCTTTAAACTCCTTTCTTTCAGGTGCCCAATATACCTGTCACATCACATCAAAACATCACTTCACTTATTATTATTCTGAAAACAGGTTTACATATTTTAACATCTGTCAGGTGTAAAATAATGTTAGAGAAAATGATAAGTACCCAGTGTGCCATCGGTAAAATTTGTCAGTAAGTTTTCTCCCAGTGACAGCGATGTGTTTAGCATTAAGGATAACACAGATGTCCCCATCATCCCGATTAGGTGCATATGTAGGCTTGTCTTTTCCTTGAACCACTGTTGATATTTGTGATGCTAATCGCCCTAAAACCTGTATTATTACATTTCCCATTAACATTTCTTAATCAGATTGTCAAATCAACTTTTACTCAAAACACAAACCTGGCCCTTCGCATCAAACACTCTCCATCTCAATCCTTCCAAATTGATGCGTCTTATACCAGCAACTGCTTTCTGCAACATTTTCAAATTCTCAAACTCCCAATTTAACTAACAAAACAAGCTATCCCAATACTATTACTTTTCCTTTCCAAAATCAACTTGTCTTATGCTTCCCAATTGACAGTTTACCAACCAAGAAAAGCTTAAGAATTGATCATCTAAAAGTCATTTGTCATGGATTGGGAAACAAGATTTTGGAACTTTGCAAATTGTTTTTTCAACTATAACATGATTAAACTCTGACTATTTCTAGTATGATCAGAGAGAGGATTTCCAAAATTTCTATTTGTTGATAAAACTTCAGCTTTGAACCTTGAATTCTATGAAGCAGCTACACTCTGTACCAATTTCTTTTATTTTAGCACAAAGATTTAGCTTGTATATTACTTAGAATTGCGTAACTATGTAAAACCAATGGGAATCAATACTACAGATGGATGTTTCACATACTATTAAGCTTAATCAATAGATTTGCGAAAAAAGGGCATAACCAATCAAGCCGGTGTAGTACAGTGTATTGTGTACTCTAAAGAACTCACAATCAACATATTCAAGGATATTTAAAACGTTTAAACTAAAGGTTGCAGAAGAAAGTATCTAAGTATTGGACATCACATACAAATTACATTCAAACAATATATGAATTTATCCAACGAATATAGTTAGAAGATAGGGAAATGAGACAAGTGTACCTTGAGGTTGCCATTGAAAGCCTGAGGTGCCACCGACATTTTATAAAACAAAATCTGGTTGACCTAAAACCCGAATCAAGAAGAATCAGAGAAGTGTATGATTAAGGAATGGAACATAAAACCAGCTAAAACCCTAGGGATTTCGACTTTCGAGTGACGTATGGAAGGCTCTGTCGATTTGGGTATTCAGGGGAGAGAGCCGATCGTATATGGGAAAAGGTCAAAAATGTTATTTTACTTTCAAAGTTGAGCCTAGAAAACAAATTAGTATATTTTTTTTAAGCCCACTACCTTTCAAATGTTTTTGAGGCATTGGGGCCTTGGGGGCCTGTTTCGGCGATTTGGTTTGGAATTGCAAATGCCCAAAACAAATTCAACTCGGTTTAAATTCAACTTGAAAAAGAAAAAAAAAAAAAAAAAAAAAAACAACAACAACGATCCAATTTAAATTCTTAATTTTGGATTTGGTTGATTCAATATCATGGAATTATTACACACGGTGACAAAATGATTAGGAAAACATTAAAGACGAGATGTAGTTACTTTTAGTATAAGATATTTATTCATAAGCATTAAGCTTTATTTTAAATTATTGGTTACAGAATCGTAGATTTCCCAACATGTTTTTCTTTTGATTCACTTGTGAAGGACTTGTTTTATAACTATAATAATAGAACATTTCTAACTATATTGAGAAACAGTTTTTGTCGTAAAAAAATAAAAATAAAAATATCAGTTTCTCTTTGCCTCAAGAGTGTTTAGGTCAATAATAGACTTTGTGCAAAATTTGGCACCAAATGTCATAACTTCGTATACTGCCCATACAAGTTAGAATGTGTTTGGCACACAGTTTTTATTTTGGAAAATTCTAGCTTTTAACTTTTTAGAAAAAGCTCGAAAAAATCATTAAAAGCTTCTAATTTTTAGCTAAATCAATAAACTTCAAATCTAAAAGTTATCATTTAATAAAAAACTCTTTTATAATTTTACAAAATTGACTTAATTACCCTTTTTTAAATCAATGGTGTGTTTTATATAAGTCTTTCTTTTTTTTTTTGTAATTTTATATGTTTTCTAGCTACTTTTGTCCGAACACTCATATACAAATAAAAACTAAAGTTTCAACTTTCACACCCCGTTTCCGAGTTCAACTTAACGAAAGAAAAGAAAGGAAATTGGTGGAAATGAGAAGAAAATAAAATAAATTGGTGTTCCCGAGTTTCATTAAAAGAGGGAAGTGGAAGGAAGTTGAGGGAAATGGGAGGATCACTTTCCCTCCTAACTTTCCTTCCGATTTGGGAGGATTTGGAAAGAAAAAACAAAATGATTCATTTTCCTTCCACTTCTCTCCAACTCGGGAACACAAAAGAAAATTTTGTTTTCCTTTCCTTTCTCTTCTTTTCTCTCATGGCTTTCTTTTCTTTTCTCTTCTTTTCTTTTGTCAAACTCGGGAACGAGGCGTCAGCTCCCAACTACCACATTTAAGCTAGTTTTGCTGAATTTCCCCTTAAAATAACATTTTTTTTTAAAGATGACCAAAATATAAAAGAAATATCGTAACAAAATATTATGGTCAGTTATTTAATCCTACTATTATTAAAATCTTAACCTAAATTTTAAATTTTATCGTCAAAGTTTTTTAAGAATGACCAAAATATAAAAGAAACTACATACAAAATTTATACACATACAACCCCAACGTACATATGATATGGGAAGTATATTTCAATTTAGGGCGCGTTTGGTTGGCAGGAAATGACTGGAATTCGAGTGAAAATGATTTCAATTCCCTCGAATTCATGCGTTTGGATGGACTTAGAGGAGGAAAAAAGATTCCTAAATTAAATAAACTTTCTACCATATCAAAGAAAATGGATTCCTTCTAAAGTTGGATGGAAAACATTAATTCTCATCAAGAAAGTGACAGATTACAAAAATACCCCTTTACTTATCAGAAACCATTCACCACCACTGCCACCACCACCACCACCACTACCACCGCCACCACCATTGCCGACACCACCACCACCATCGTCGGCGCCACCATCGCCACCACCAATACCACCACCATCGTTGCCAATACCACTACCATCACCGTCGCTGCCACCACCGTCATTACCATCACTCATCACCACTATCATCTCTGTCATCACCACCAACACTACCATCACCCATCACCACTACCACCGTCGCCGTCAATACCACTACCACCGCCGTCGCAACCACCACCACCACCACCACCATCACCCTTCATCACTACCACCGACGCCGCCAACATCACCACCACCACTGTCGCTGCCACCAACCACCCACCAATAGCATCGCCGCCACCACCACTATCGATGCCACTACCACCGACGTCACCATCACCTATCACTATAGTCGCCACCATCAACTGTCACTTCACCGTCACCGCCACCATCACCATCACCCACAACAACCACTGCCAACACGACCTAAATTTTACTATCTTTATAATTTATATAACGTATATTTACATATAAATTTGAA